AGAGACGCGGAAGGGGCGGGTGCATGCACTCAGGCATTTACCTTTCCAAGGTCAGTAGGGAGAAAACTTTGAGAAAATGTGACAGACAGTTCGTCTTTCAAGCATAGTGGGGAAGAGGAAGAAACAGGTTGCAAAAGAAAAAAAAAATCTTTACTAGGATTTTCTTTCTCGTGTGCATTGGAAATTTAAAAATCAAGGCTGCACCATGAATGCCAGTGGTCTCTCGACCTCAAGCAGCCGGCACAGCCCCGGGAAGACGCCGCAGAGGGCGGAGTCCGGGCTGACATCCCTATTCTACCAGGAAACCGAGATCGCCGGCACCACACCCCAGGGCGTCCCCCTCCCAAGTCTGAGAGCTCCAGCAACCCCGTGGCCACAGGCAGACCTGACCCCAGGGGGCCCCGGAGTCCCTGCCCGGCCCAGGGCGCCGAGTCCCTCCCCGTGGTCACAGCAGCTGCCGTCCACCAGGCACTTACGGGGAGCGGCTGTTCTGCCAAGCGATACGTCATATTCTCATTCATCAAAACACCTCATCAAGTTATCATCCCCACTTTACAGGTGAGGAAGTTACGATCCTCGAATTGCTTAAACGTGCCCAGAGGTCCAGAGCCGGAGGCCAACCAAAGACCCGACATGCGACCCCAGCTCGGTCTGACCTCGGTCATAAATTTTGGTCACAGGGCTCGGGTCAGCTCCTGGAATCAGACGTAGCTACGATCCCAGCGTGGTCACGCTCCCCGGCTGGGCGGGACCCGGGGGTCCGGGCGTGCCGTGGTCGGCGGGACGCACTTTGGCGGAGCTGGAGCGGCTCTAGCCGCGGGCACTACTACAGGAGCCCTGGCGCCAGGCAAGCTCGCCCTTAGCAGGGCGGGGGCATGTCCCCGAATGGACCCTCCCGGTAGGGAGATTTCCTTCCTGGCAACATCAGGCCACGGGTCAGAAGGAACAGGACTCGCGTGGCGGCAAAACCCGCGGGCTCCAAACCCACGGGCTGGTGTCACACAGGAGAACCCTAACCCGGAAGCAGTCCAGGCTCCGGTTCACACTTCAGGGGATGACGGACACCGGCCTGTGACGGTGTGAGTCTCACTCTTTGAGGGGGGACGATGATGGCCAGGCCACCACCCAGTAAGCACGGCCCTGGGAGGGGACCACCGGGGCGCCACCACCACCCAAGCACAACACAAACGCTCAACTCCAGGCTCCTGCCTCACTTTCCAGCTTCTCGGGGGTAACCTCATGAGCGAAAAATGACTGACGGGCAGGTGTGACTTGAGGGTGGGGTGACGTGTTGAGGTGCTGTCATCAGAGCTCTGTGACAGGCAGACGTCGGCTCCCGTGGGTGGGGGCTCCAGGAAACAGACCACTGAGTGATGCAGCCGGTGGCTGTGAGAGCCAACACCGGACCCGAGACTTCCCGCAGAGGGCTCCGGGCCCAGGGAAGGGGAGACCGCACGGGACTGACTGGCGCGACCTGTCGAACCCGCGCCAGCTCCGACATGGGACAACCGGATCCACAGGACGGTCCCCACGTGGCGCTCTCCAGAGCACTCCAGCCCAGCCACGCTCCCGCCAGGGCACTAAGTCCTCAGACGTGGCTGTGCAGATTAGGCTCTGGGTGAGTTTTCCTGTCCACGTGCAAGGAAGCTCCCAGGGCAGGGGCTTTGAGGAATGGCGGCAGGCACATCCCAGCCCGACACCCAGATCTGACACTGAGAGGGCAAATGCGGATCCCAGCCGAGGCCCAGACCACGGCTGTTGCAAACGATGCCCCCAGAGCCCCGAGCGGGATGGGGAGAAGCCAGCTATGGGGAGGCGGCGTCAGAACAGACTGAACATCAGCGGGGCCACTGTGACCTTAGAGTCCTTTTCAAGTCCCTCTTCCTTCCTCCTTCCACCTCTTTCCCCCTGAAGACCTCAGACTTTATAAAAACCATCCTTATCCCCAGGATCTGAATAGGGGGAGACAAACTGGCAAGCGAGAAGCAGGGCAGGCAGCGGACACGTCCCGAGAGATACTTACAGGCAGGCCTGCCCTAGCAACGGCTGCGGGGAGGAAGCAGAGAGAAGTCAGTGGGACGAGCCCGCCACACCCCACGCCGGCCGGCCAGCTGGCCCGAGGGCAGCTCTGCAGCGGGCAAAAGGACGGGGCCCTGCTGCCGTGTCCTCCACAGCGGAGGCCCGTACAGCTCCGGACATCACCCTCTCCACCCCACGGCCTCTGAACTTCCAACCGTGACCCCATGTTGACACCAGGACAGAACGACACAGAGACACCGTTTCAGTCCTGCTCGGTTTTCATAAACACCTCGAGTTTGAGACCTGAGAGGACTATTTTTTGGAAGCGTCCCAGCCCTGCCCGGCGTGGGTGACGCGAAGGGTCAGGCCCAGGACCCTGGTGATTGCGACACCGTTCACGCCACACCCAGACGAGGTCTCGCCTGGCTAGGCAGTGACACCTCACCTCGTCTACGCGCCCTCCCACGCGCCCAACACTCGACCTGCCCTGTGCGACTGCTGTCCCCTGGGTGCGAACACTGGGCCACTGCGCCCTCCCCACGTCCACTCCGGACACCTCCCGGTCTGGGGTCGCTCCGGGGAAAGGCAGGAAGCTGGGCAGTGCAGAGGAAGGCCCGACTGGCGCTGGCGGCGAGTGCTGGACAAACCCAAAGGAAGCTCGGCTGGAAGTGATTCGAGGGGCCAGGCCTGGGGCGGAGCGGGGACACCCTTGGTGCTCCCCGAATTTGAGCCCTGAGATTTCTATGCCTCACACGTTTGCGAGGGTTCCCGGCTGTCTCTGAGGAAAAGACCGGTTTCCTGAAAACAATCCTAACGCCCAACAGCCGAAACCTCCCGGCCTTTCCCTTGGCACCAACGAGGTGTGGGGAGCCTAAAACCTGCTGGGACCCCCGCGGCGCGTGAGAAAGCAGCCGCTTTCTCTGTGTCAGAAATAACGATGCACGGCCCTGAGCGGGACCTGGAGGCTCACTATCTCTCCAGCTCTGCCCGGTTTTGCCCAGGGAAGGCCTCGCCCCCAGAGAGCAGGTGACGCGGTCACAGCCACCACCGGTGAAGACAGACCCTGGTGACTTCACTTCAGAGGGTGCTCCCTTCTCATGCTCTCCCCCAACAAACGCACACACCAGACACCCACGTGTGCACACTCGCAGACACACGGACACCCACGTGTGCACACACGTACACCAGACACCCACGTGTGCACACTCGCAGACATGGACACCCACGCGTGCTCACACACACACCAGACACCCACGTGTGCACACTCGCAGACACGGACATCCACGCACGTACACACACCAGACACCCACGTGTGCATACTCGCAGACACGGACACCCACGCGTGCACACACGCACACCAGACACCCACATGTGCACACTCGCAGACACACGGACACCCACGCGTGCTCGCTCAGACACACACAGGCGCACAGCCCCGGGCCTGAGGCTGTCGCCCCCACCCCCGGCACTCGCCCCCAGCAGGGAGGAGAGGGCAGTCACTGACTTGTCCGGGCAGCTGCGTGGGCACCTCCGGGGGCAGGCGGCTGGGCAGGGCGGCCGAGGTGGAAGCCACGTGCTCCTCAAAGCTGTTGATGCGAGGCTTTTTGGTGGGCTCGGGGCTGGCTAGCGGGGTGACACTATTGCGCCTCATGAGCGGGTTAGGTCCCTTCTTTGCATCCTAAGCGAGACGAAGACAAAAGAGAGAAGGCGACAGTTATGAGGAAGGGGAGAAAAATAAGCCAAACAAGGTCCTCTGCTCCTGGGTTTTAGGGATTCGACAAGATTGATCCGAGGTGAGCTGCCGGGACGAGGGCTGCCGCGTGTGCGGTGTGGCTGCCGCGTGTGCGGTGTGGCTGCCGCGTGTGCGGTGTGCTGCTGCGTGTGCAGTGACTTCCAGTCAGCAAGAATGGGGGTGCGTCCCTCCGTGCCCCTTTCCCCAAAGGACACCAACGTGAACGGACAAACGCAACATGTGCAAAGCAGGGAGGGAAACGACCAAATCGCGGCGGAGAACAAGATCAGAGACGAGAGCCCTGCCTCCCGCCTCCCGCAGCTGAGGAGGGGAGCGTCGAGGGAGAGGCCTGGGTCTGAGGCTCTCGGACGGGGAGGAGGCCGGCGCTAACCCCCTTCCGCAGACACCAAGCCGGGATCTGCAGAGCACGGACCCGTGCGTGCTCACGAAATAACACCCTGGCTTCAGATGGGAGACGGAGCCTGCAAAAACCTTCGCGGAGACAAAAGACACCAGGAACCTGCAGGGGCAGAGTCGGCCAGCCAGCACCAGACAGACGCCAGCCTCCCGTGAGTGACGTCACGGGGTTCTGGCAGGGAAGCTCTCCGGGCCCCAGCCCTGCTGGAGCGCGGCAGCCAGCGGCCGGTGTGCAGAAGTGGCGTGCCAGGTTGGGGGCAAGGAGGCTGGGGGACATCCTCCTCTTTCAGGTTGGCCCACCAGCCAGGCCACTGCCAGCAGGAGCCACGCAGACAACTCACGGCCCTGAACACCGAAGTCCGATGGCCAAGCTCCTTGGGAATAGGGGAGTCAACTGTCTCGGGAACTCCACGGACAGAAAGTCGCGCTCGGGGTACCAGCAAGGAATGTCTGACTAGCGCTGGCAAAGCGTCGTGCTCTGATGGCCCAGACACAGGAACTCAAACCCACTTCATGCCGCAAAGAAATCCAGTCTGCTCGGTAAAGGTCAGCCGGACCGAGCCCCAAATCTCAGGCCTCCGTGAGGTGCAAAACAGCGACCGCCAGGCCTCGGGGGCCCCTGAAAAACCCGCCCACCCGCCACGCCCGGCCCTCGCTCTCCAGGCCACTGCCTCGCTCAACACCGCCGTGTGCTGGTGATTCTGTACCTAAGTGCGTGCAGGTGACGGGGCTGCTCTGCCGATCCTGTCTGAACCAGTAACTCGGGACCGTGCCAGCACGGATTTAGCTGCCTGGAAGGGAAGGCAACAATGACCACGCTATGGTTACGGCCGGAAGAAGGCAACGTAGCTTCCTCTTTAACACTCACTCCTCCGGCCAAGCAGACGGGGTCGCGGGGAGAGAGCACAGGAAGGGGGAAAAAAAGCTTTATCCTAAGAAGCCACAGAAAGACAGCTGCCAGTCAGGCGCACATGGGTCGGCCCCTGCAGCCAACCCGTCACGGGACTTCCCGAGGGCCCACGAGGGACGGACGCCGGGACGGGACGGGGTGCCGCGGGGCTGCACTCACCTCCGACCGCTCCCGGTGCGTGCTGACCGACTCCACGTTCAGGTAGATGGATTCCACACGGCAACCTGCGGGCGCAGATGGGGACGGGCCCCTGTCAAAGGCTGGCCCCGCCTCCAGCCCACGGCCAGCAGGAGCCGCCGGCGGGGGGCGGGACTGGGTGGAGGCCGCCACTCACCGTAGGCGACGGGCGTCAGCTTCAGGACGGTGTGCAGGGGGCACTTCAGATAAGGCATCTCCTCTGAAACAGACGAGGCCGCCGTCAGACAGGGCTTGAGCAGGCGGGTGGGGAGGGACGTCCCAGCCCACCGCAAGAGCTCCGGACACTCAAAGCCCTGCCTGTAGGGGTGGCTGGCCCAGCACACGAGCGTCCTGCGTGGCAGGTGGTCCCAGAAGAAGACCTGAGCCACCGGAGAACCCACCCTCCCACGGTGCGTTGGAGCTGAAACGGAACCGCCGTTCCCCAACAGTCTATGTCTGCCTCGGATCGGCTGAGCCTCAGACAGACACAGGCCTCACACTTAATCAGACAGTTGGAGTTTTCCAGGCCGCTTGTTCCTCAGAGTGAGTTCAGGGGTAGGGCTGCCCCCACCTCTAGGACCCCATGGAGGGTCTGCGGCTGCCCCCTCAAAGGCTGTCGCCTTTCTCCCTCCTCCCCGCGGCCGCGGCCTGCCCCGCGCACCTGCGCTCTTGTCCAGGAAGTAGGCCAGCAGGCAGCGCAGCACGGCCTGGTGGCAGATGACCAGCACGTTCTCCTGCCGCTCCAGCTCCATGATCACGGGCTCCAGGCGCTGCACCAGGTCCTGGTAGGACTGAGCACAGGGCGGGCCGCCCCGTTAGCACAGGGGGGTCGGGTGGGGGCTCTGCCCGGGCCACAGCCTCCCAGCGGGCAGGCAGGCGACCCCACCCAGAACCAGCCCGTCATCAACCGTCCACCACTGGGGGGTCTACAAGGGACACCGCCCAGCACAGAGGACTGAGCCCTGGCGCCCACTGCGACACGGATGAGCCCTGACATCTTCGTGCCGCGTGAAAGAAGCCGACACAAAAGGCCACGCAGGGCGTCTGACCCCATTTACATGGAATGCCCGGAATAGGCAAATTTGCAGGCGCAGGAAGCAGATTCCTGGTTGCCGGGGACTGGGGGGAGGGGTGGCGGCCTGCAGGTCTGGGGTTCTCTCTGGAGTCAAGGAGACGCCCTGGAGTCAGCGGTGACGGTTGCCCGGCACACTGCAAATATACCAAACCCACTGAACTGTGTGCTCGAACACGGGTGAAATGGTGACTATTATGTTACGTGAATCTCATGTCAATTAAACAACACAAAGCAAGGAGCAGGGCTGCGCCCAGTAGGGCTTCTCCTTCTGCTCACGCCAGGCCCTCGGCCCCCTACGCTGGGTCCTGGTGGGTGAAGCCCAGCGTGAGGCCAGAGGACAGGGGGCCGGGGCTTCAAGGATGCAGGCAGGGAGGACCCGCCAGTGAAAACACACCACCCAGCCTAGCCACACTCCACCCGCGGTCTAGACGGCTGCCCGCTCGCCCCCACCAGGACCGTAGTGCCAGGACCCACAGCCCCCTCCCCGCAGCCTGGGGACGCCCTCGCCGGCCGTGCATCACTGTGCACCATCTCCTCTCTGCCCCCCGCCCCCGTGCCTTTCTGCACGTCCCCAGACACGCCCACCTCTCGCTTTTGCTCGTGGGGAAACACAGCCGGGCTTCTCCCGGGGCTGTGTCCAGGTTCAGTGCAGGGAGAGCCGCCCCACCCGACCACAGGCGCCCCCCACTCACCTCCCCTGTGGGGTAGCGGTAATAGTACTTGTCCTGCTCCCGCAGCGCGTACTCCTCGGGGTAGGTGTCCTTGATCTCCTCGTAGGTCAGCTCCTCGCAGACGCCCTGCGGGGACCCCGCCGGTCACTCGAGGGCACTCGCCCCAAGGGGGCTGCTCTGAGGACTCTCAGGACAGGCCTGTCACAGCCAAGGGTGGGGCTGCCCCACACGCCCTCCGCCAGCCCCCGCAGGACTCACGGCATCGATCTCGTTGAGCGCCTTCCACTGCTCGTAGGGCAGCTTCAGCGCCTCCGCGGTCTGGATGGTGCTCTTGAGCTGGCTGGTCCACACCCGCAGGCCCTTCAGGTTCTGCTCCTCCACGAACTGGCTCAGGGCGCTGGCAAACTGAGAGCACAGGGGACAGGCCTGACCCAGGGTCCCTCACTTCCTCCTGGAGGCTGGGGCAGGACCCACGCAGCCCACGAGGGACCGTGCTCTGTCCTGGGTCGGTGGTGGGGTAACTGACAGCCACCCAGGACACACCCTCCCCAGGGCCCGGGGGACTCGGCTCTTTTCTCTGCCTCCACCAGTGCTCACTTGCTCACACACGCACACACATGCACACACACATGCACACACACATGCACACACATGCACACACACATGCACACACATGCACACACATGCACGGTGAGCACACAAGGGCAACAGCAGCAGAACACACACACCCCGCCCACCCCGCGGACCCAGCAACTATCCCAAACACGGAGCGGCCTCCTCTCCCGTCCTGCCCCTCGCCCACCTTCTTGCCCCTGCTGGACAGGCCCGAGTCGCCCCCGATCCTGCCCTGCAGGTTGTACTCGTTCTCGCCGTGCCGGCACAGGTAGATGGTGCGCGGCTGCACGTGGATGTTCATCAGGTAGTACACGATGCGGCTCTGGATGTGGTCCTGCACCCTGTTCACCAGGAACCGCCGGCCGACGTCGATCACCTTGATCAGCGACAGGTCCCTGCAGAGAAACGCCACCGAGGACCCCGATCAGGCCTCCCCCGATGGCACGAGAAGAACCAGAAGACGAGAGAACCAACCGTGCAGCCGGACCGCATGCGGCCCTGGGGCCCTCCGCGAGAGGCAGAGGGTGAGCGCGCCACACTCCCCCAGCACGCTGCTGCTCTCGAGGCCGGCTGGCCTCCCAGAAGAGAAAACAGAAAAGAAACAGAAAAGAAAATAAAGGAACTATCAACGGGGTGGTAGCAAGACTGGGCCCCATGGTAGGTCGACTTCCTGCTCTTCTACACGGTGTCTGAAACACTCGCACTGACTACGGCTTGTCAGCGAGGATTTTTGCTAAAAGACATTTACGAAGAGCGTTCATAAAGGTTTCCAGGAGCAAACGCTTTGTGGGAACATCAGCAAAACATTAAACACCCTGACGGGTCACTCAGAGGGGGCGGGCCTGGTCATTACCTGTCCCACTTGTCGGGGTCGAGGGGCTGGTAGCTGGCCTCGTAGCAGCCGATCCTCCTCATGAAGTCGTCCATGGCTTCTGCCGAGTTGCAGTCTTTGTAATCCGGGCTGGAGATTTTAACTTCCTGCAAAGCCACAAAGAGGCAGCTGATGAATCACGCTGGAAGGCTTTCTGCTTAGATTAAGCGGGATTTGGGGCTTTCAAAAGGGGAAAGCACGAGGGCTCAGGATAAAGATTATCCTGCCCGGCGTTTAAGGGAAAAAAAAGAGACGGACTCTGGGGGAGGGGTCGTGGCCTGATGTTACCCGGGGAGGACACCCCGGGGGAGACAGAGGGCGGCCGACCAGAAGGGCAGAGACGGGGACCCACGAGGATTCCGGACAAACACCTCTGCATGGACCAGAGAGTCGGGGTCAGTCCAGGGCCCCAGTCACCACCGGAGAAGCTGACCCCCCACTCGGCCGAGCACCTGCCGTGTCCCTGCACCGAGAGGAGCTGCCTGTCAACTGCAAGGCGCATTTGGCAGCTGCTGGTGATGCCCCGTCTCGCCTGGACTCTGCTCCAGCCGCCCAGACGGCGGCAGCCGCGGCGCGACGGGTCTGTGGTTATCTCTCTAACTAGAGCCCTGCCCTCTCCTCCCGGGGCTTGTCCTCCAGCTGGAGCCGAGCAGGAACCACCCCGGGGTCTGCCGACGGCTGCTGCTGAACAGGTCCGAGACACCCGGCAGACGGCAGGAAGTTCAGCAGGTTTTAATGCCTGTGCTCTCTTTCTCATCAGCAACCGCCACAACTTGGAAGCAGCCGCTCTTCAAAGATCTGAGTCAGTGTGTCATGGGCACAGAGTTTCCGGCGGGGAAGATGAGAGCGTTCTGGGGACGGAGGGTGGCGATGTCTGCCCAACCACAGCAACCGTAACTAATGCCACCGAACTGCACTCTTACAAATGCTTAAGACGGTCAGTTAGGTTATGTATATTTTACTGCAATAAAACAAGTAAGTTCACAAATTCCAGGGCCTAACCTGCAACACCACATTGAGGTTTAATCAGAGAAAGAGATTTCTGGACGTGAAGGGTTGGGGCAAACAACTCTCCGTGTCAGTCAATGGACTCCCAGACACGACAAAGTCCCAGCTAAGCACACTGGCGACTACTCGCTGGGGCAAAACCAATTCCCAGCTGCACTCTCTACCCCACCAAGGGGAACCAGGACGGCCACGCCAAAGAAACAGGGCAAACCCTTGTGTTTAGATGACTGCAACTTCTGTTTCCCCGCACTCTGGGCCTCTTCCTTTGGACCCACTGAACAAATGTGAACTGATTTTTCACAGTTCAAACAGCCCTTTCTGAAACATGAACTCATTTCTTAGAAATACTTGTAACTATTTCCACTGCCTTAGAGAAAATACGAGACGCCAATGCACCCTTAGCTTCCCCTTTAAAGATGAGTATTTGTACGCGGAGCACCACAGCGCTCGGCGAACAGGTGTTCAGAACCGCTTCCTTGTACATACGTCTCATTCTCATCTGTTTAAGCTGGAGAGAAACTTATTCCAACAGAAGGTGATCTGCGGTTAAGTCTCCAAAACAACTGTTCCTATTTATGACACATCGTTATCAGGTGATAACATTCAAGAATTAATCAAATTTCACAGGCCAAGTCCCCTGAATTTATCCACACAAGCTCCCCACCCTGGCACAGAGGTTCATTAGACAGAGCAGCAGGAAGAGAGTTTTACGTCCCTCCTTCCTCCCGAACTTGGAACCTTGCAGCCAGGTTGCCAAGCCCCGTAGACTCTCGTCAACACACAAGCATCCGTACCCGCCAGGCGTGACAGCAAGAGAGCAGCCTGCTGTCCCATCTGGGGGGTTGGTGAGCGGCCCTGTGTCCAGACAGCTCCGTCACCATCCGGCTGCCAAGTTCCTGCCACGGATGGAAACTGCTCTGGTCCCAACCGAGCCTGAGCACTGTCTCTGGAGACCCCAGGTAGAGCCAGCCTATCCCAGGACAGGCCTCCAGGTTGAACACTGCTGTGCATGTCCCACCTCTGGGACATGATCGACAGCAAGCTGGGGGCAGCTCGTTCTAACGGTTTAGTTACTTCTCTGAGCCTGACCGGCCCCCACTTCCCGAGACCGCAAACGTCGCTGTGGCCCAAGCCGCTGCGGGAGAGTGGGGTTCCTGGCTGTCTTACCATGATGTTGGAGGCCACAACTGTGGGGTCGTCACACACAGACTCGATGAAAAAGGCCTGGAGGAAGCAAGACGGGAAAGTTAGAAAAGAACGAACGCCACGAAGGGCCAACTGTGCCACGGGCCTGCTGTCGTCATCACGTGCAGGGAGGAAGGACGCCCTCTGTCATCGACCCCCAGGGACGTCAAAGACCCACCTCCCCAGACCCACGAGTCCTGGCGCAAGGCCCTAATTTTAGGCACCAAAACTGGGAGGCGAAGGACCAAGCAGGAATCGGGGACTCAGCTGGTCCCCGAGTGTCCTGTGTCCCGAGCTCTCTGGGGCAAGGTGACAAGCATGGCTCACCTTGAAGTCGTTTTCTTTGGCAAAATGGAGGATCATGTGTCTCCTCTCTCGAGTAGTATTGGTGGCGTCAAACACCTATGGGGAGAGGGGAGAGCCAGAGAGAAGAACCTAAGTTTGAATTTAACAATACTTACCAAATCCACCAGGGAAGCCAGAGCTGTCATTCCAGGAATAAGCCCCAAAATGCGCTTCCCAGGGAGTCTGTGCTCACCCACAGGCCTCTCCAGGGGCGTGCCCCCTGCCTACAGCACTCGGGGATGGCCCGAAAGCAAACCGGACAGTATGGGGTAGCAGGAGGCACACACAGAAGGGCCCCGCCCCCCTTGGAGAGGGGGAGGGTCCCGAGCCCACCCCCCGACGGCCTTCCTGAGTCACTGAGCAGCCCTGGCCTCTGCTTCCCTCCACCCTCAGGGCCAGAGGCACGTGTCCCTGTTCTAGCGCCCCTCGATGGCTCTTGGCACTGCCCAGGCCAGCAAGGCCATCACCCCCCTGCTATGGGACTGGAGACCGAGCCGGCTGCATCCCCTAGACTTACCGCAATTTGTCCTCCTTCCTTTGCCAGGTAACTTTTGACATCTCTCAAGGCAGCTAAGGCACACTGCCTGCAGCACGCAGAAAGAGAAGCCACAAGTCAGCACAAGCCTGTCCCCCAGGAGGCCCAAGCACCCCCATCACAAGCGGCGACAGAGCCACTGGCCACGCTATGTCCAAAGTGCTCCATGCCGGGCCGGGCTGGCCGGGCCTCCTCGGGCCCAGAGGCTTCCAACCTGAGGCCCGGCGTGGTGCTGGTGTCTGGGGAACCGTGCCCTTGGGGAGCCCAGAGCCACCCACAAAGTCTCCCCAAGCTGGCCTGGCATCGGGGGCTTTACCAGCCCACCAGGTGACTCAAACTTTCAGCTAGGTCTAAACACGGTCACGCAAGGGTTTCATGACCAACTTGTGCTCAACGCAAAGTCCTTTTCAAACGTAAACAGGCGCTTCCGATGAAAAGGACTTCACCCACTCTCAGCGAGAGGTGGTCGCTGCTGAGCTGACACCAGCTGAGCTAGACCATCGGGGGACAGGTCGAAGCAGTGAGTCTCAGGACAAGAGACCCATCACCCCGCCGGCCGGCTCTGACGGCCACACCGCAGGCCAGCGTCCGCCTGCTCTTACAGAACTGGCTCGTGAACAGAGCCAGCCCAAACCGGAGGCCTCCACGCAACGCAGCCTTCCTTACTTTCGGACTTTCATGGCTTCTTCGTTGTCGGGGCGAAAGAAGTTGTAGGAGCTGTACTGCTTCACGGCCTCGCGGCGGTACTCGCCCACGTTGAACACTGCGGACGGGAAGAGGAGGACAGCCGTGGATGGCCAGGCGGGGGGACAGGGCCAACTCACAGTCCCAACCAAAGAAGAGCCACCTGGCCAACCGGCGCTGATTCGAATGAGATGAGGAAGCGACAGGGAAGCCACAGTGTGGACTCACGGCGGCGTCACCACCACCGCCGGACACAGCAGGAAGGAGCAGCCCAGCTCCCCCAGGCCGAGCCACACGGCCTGACCAGTCTCCAATCCCAGTCTTACGACCTCACAGACCAGAGACCAAGACTGTAGGAATGGGGGTGGCCATGGGTGTATAGAAAACAGGGACAACCATTTCCACCAACAGCGTCGAAGAGCGAATGGGGTCTCACGCCCTCTGCCCGGTCTACGGCAGCTGTCCTCCTGCAGTGGCCGGGGACCACGTTTCATAGTTCCTGGCTCTGCTCTGGGCACGGTGGGTGACAGCAAATATAAAGTCTAGTTCCCACGCTCAAGACACACCCCACAGGGTCAAGAAGACCAGGCAGAGATGCACAAGCGCGTCACCTGCCGGCACAGGGATGTCACCCGAGTGCGACGGGAACTTAAAGGAAAAGACTCGCACTGCGCGAGGTGGCCAGAGAAAGAATGTCACGAAGGAGGTAACGTATGAGTTGGGTAGGATTTAGGGGCGTAGGAAAGAGGAGAATGGCCACTGGGGGAAACAACAGAAAAGGCAGGGCACGGACAGAGTGTGGCAGGGACCCGGCTGGGTGGGAGGTAGGCGCGGACCCCAGCATGCAGGGACGGACACACCCGGGAGCGGTCCTGCCACGAGAACCGGCAGCCGCGGCACTTGGCGTGGGGCTGCCCCGGCCCTGGCATCCCTCACCCTTCGTGGGCACGCCGATCCAGTTGAGGTAGCGGGTCAGCTTCTTCGAGATGTAGGTCTTGCCACGGGCGGGGAGCCCCACCATGACGATCACCGTGGGGGAGTTGGTCAGCTTCGGCCCACAGGCTGGGGAGAGCGACAGAGAAGAGGGTCAGCCACTGGGCACCGAAGTTTGTATTTCATCCCCATCCCAAAGCCCTTGGCATTTTATCATCCAACGGAACCACGGCTGCCTACGGCCAGAGCCCCCCAGTCACACGTCGCTGTCAGGTTCAACTCACAAAGAAAGTCCCAGTCCCAAAACCCCAACCTGATACCAGGGCCCTAAACCAGCAGGGCCCCTGGCTGCTAACACCACAGTGGAAGCGGCTCGCCCCTGGGCGTGGGGAAGGGACGCCGGCATGCGGGTGGGGGGGCGAGGTCATCACAGGTGAGAGGCTAGGGGAAGAGGGCTGTGAGATTAACGGGGGATGGGGGAGAGGTTCGCACAAGGGGCTGGGGGCCAAACTCAACACACAGGCCAGGGGCGCGTGGGCTGGGACGTGGGAGCCGGGGCCCTGAGGGCGAGAGACAGAGAGAGACAACCATCACTTCCAAACCTCCGCACAGGAGGTCTGGGCGGTCTTTTTTTAAAAAAAATTTGCTCTGTGGGCAATTTTTAAAAGTAAGAGTTTATCAAATGAAAGTAGATCAGGGACCCAGAATGCTACTCCCTACCCAGGGGACAGGTAAATCCCCCACCCCTGAGCCTCGCTGGGAAACCAGAGATGCTCTTGCCTGCCAGCTCCCTCCTGGCTTCCCCTGCTAAAGAACTGTCCCCTGCACCTCTGAACCCCAGTAAGACAAGACACCGGGAGGGAGGCTTTTCAGAAGGCAGCTAAAGGCAGCCCATCCTGGAAACCGAACGCCCAGTGCCTCCTTGGCTGCCGCCTGGCCCGAGACTCTCCGGCAACTCTCGCATCCCAGTGACAAGCCAGCTCATGAGCCAGAGGCCACCTGCCAACTCTAGCCCGGGCAGTGCCGCCCACACCCCCTGGCCGCCAAGGTCAGCGCCATCCTCACTCGCGGGCACAGGCGCCTGGCCTGCAGGGAGAGCTGGGAAAGCCGCACCGCAGAGCCGGGCAGAGGTCACCCCGCACACAGGCTCTGATGAGCAGAGAGCCTGGGCTGGGGGCTGTGGGGACAGGGGAGAGCCACCACCCCACAGACAGGCCCCCCGACTCAGAAGAGGAAGCCCCTCCTCAGGCTGGACACCCCAGCACGGTCCCGAACTGAAGTCAATGTCCAAACACCTCCCTGCAATGCCAGGATCTGCCTCCCAGACCTGGAGCCCGGGCTGGTGTAGCAGGTGTGACACACAGGGCCTTTGTCTCCTGGTTAACACTGGGGGACCACTGCGACCTTCTCAGCAGGCAGAGGGAGGCAGCAGAGAGGCCAGCAGAGGGTCAGAGCCCTCGGCTGGCATTCCCTCGGCTTCCAATGGCCCTGGGACAAACAGGTTCCTCGAAAACAGAAGCTTCTTGCTGCCCAGGGCGAGCCGGGGATGAGGAGCACCCAGTGGCCCAAATAAAGCACAAGGGGCCTCTGTATGTCCCCAGGGTGTGCAGAGACAGCCTCCCACGTGTCCAGGGTCATGCTGGCAGCTGCAGTTGACACGTCAGAAAAGTAGCAGCACCTGCTCACAGTTCCTCACTTGTGCTAGGAAACGACCCACCCACAGACCCTCCCCCAGGCCAGTGGTCCCCCCCGCCCCACCCCACTGTACTAGGCGTCCCCCACCACGCGCTGCTCCTAAGAGCACCCAGACACGCAAAGACGGCACACACGCATGCACGGCTGAGCACATGCATGCGACACTTCCGCTGGAACTGCGCCAAGGAGGCAGAGGCAGAAGCTGATTGACTTATCAAAGCAGGGATTATGTCTCTCCACTAACCGTAGGAACAAATCTGCTCTGGCAGGAGACACTTTGGGAGGGAAAAAACAAAACAGCATAGACACAGCAGAGTAAACAGCCTAGGGCAAAAGTTCAAGCTGAATTTCAAACCCAAATAAACCACCGCGCCCTTCCTCTGCATATCAGAGTATCAGAGCCTCTGCCTACACCTTCGTTTTCTGGGCCTCGAGGTCTGTCCCCACCCTGCGGGTCTCCAGCAGATGAGGAAACCACAAAGGCTTTTGACCAAATCTTGGAGTCTTATTCTGTCATCCTCCACCCCTTTTGCAAACGGACAGCACATCTCAAGTTTCTTCTTCTGGGACCCTCGGTCGTGCACAGGAGGCCACATGGAAGCCAGAAGGCCAGCTGGAGAGCACGCCAGCCGCGGTCCCTGTCACAGCGCAGCTGAGAGTCTGGCACCCCGGGTTCCACCTCCTGTTCTCCTCCCCGATTAAGGTGCTAACCTCTCTGATAATGTGCGACACGGGGACAGATGCAGGCACTCGACGGCGGCCCGCAGCCCCCCACTGGTGCCCAGAACTCGTCCTTGGGAAATAAACCACTGGCAAGACGCTTTGCTGCGGGTCCCACGCCTCCTGCAAGCCTCCTCCTACCCAGGGGCTGTGCGGGATGCTAACCAGAGGAAGATGCTACAGCATTTCCGTTCTTTTCTACAAGTCAGTGAGTCATGCTTCGATTACAAGTCCAAGAGGAAAAAATGGAAGGGGCTGTTTATAACGGACAGAGTGCTGTGGACCAAGAAGGGCCCACTCTGATGGCCTAAGGGAATGGAGGTTGTGCCCGCCCACCTACAGTAACCACCTGGACCCACTCCCACAAGGCAAGGGCAAATCAAAGCCGCACAGAACACCTGCTTTGACCCTGCAATTCCACACAGCCACCCGAAGGAGGTCTCCGCGAGAACAGGCTTCACGTGCCTGGCCCTGGGGAGACCGGGATGCCAGCACGGAAGGCGATTCAGGACACGAGGCTGTCTACTGGGCACAAACTCTCCCCTGGCATCACAGAGCAGCCCTCCCTCAAAGCCCGCTTAGGCAACATGGAGCGCCAACATCTCGGTGAGCCTGCCTCCGCGAGGCGGGGACAATGCAGGTAACCCGCACCTCTTTCAAAAGCGCCTCTGCACTCCTCCCCGGTCACCATATACGTGCTCACCCCGTACAGGCATCACTTTGCACGCACATCTTAACTAATGTCCAAGCAATCTCACCTCTGAGCAACCCCACGCCTAATGAGCAGCCCTCGCAACCCCGTGTGGTCTCAGCCAGCAACACTGAGGGACTAGGCATCACAGTGACCCAGCGACAATCTTGGGAGGCAACACAACAGCTCCATGGTGATGAGGAAGGGCCCAGAGCCACGCAAACAGCTCGAAGCCTGGCCTCACCACTTCCTGGGGCAATTCTGCCTTGGTTCCCGGTTCCCGGTTCCCGTATAGGTTTTTTGTCCCCTCCCCGCAAAATCTCTCCTAAGTGATTCTAATGTGTGGCTGGTGCCGAAAATCACTGCTGTAAACTGCAGGGGCCACCAAGGACGCATTAGGGATTTCTCTAGAACATCCACCCAACCTGTCTTCTTTACACTAGAATACTATCAGTGCGTGCTGCCCCAGCCCAGATGAAAATCTTCCTGTCAGTATTTGAGTATCTGAATCCGGAGCAAGGACAAACTGGCAGTTCGTCCCATTCCACCATAATTAAGGGGAAAAAAAGTCAGTGCTTTAAGAGGCCGTCTTTTTTCTTCCTGCTGTTCACAACAACCAGCACTGATCCCTAGCAATGCCCCCTTTGCCCTCCTGATGACGACTATTTATTTAACGCCTACTAAGTCCCAAGCACTGTCTTTGGGACTTACCAGTGCCATCCAGGAGATGGGACAATAACCTACTTTACAGACGAGGAAACTGAGGTTCTGAGTGGATACGTAACTCACTCAACTAAGACAGGACTCGGACACAGAGGCTTTTGATTTTTAGTAATGACGAGGACAAAGGACAGCCAGCTCCTGAATGCCAAGAACTCACTTCCTACTGATTCTGATGATAAATTCAGTAGGTCTCCCTGAATTATGGGTTGCAACTGAAGGAAGGAAGCTGCAGGTTCTGTAAGACACATGTACACGTGGGTGCAGCAACAGGGCCCCACTCACATGCTTGAGAAGCAGAAGCATGCAACTCGATTCTTGCTGCGGCTTCACCGCTTTGTCTGCGAATAATAATGGCCACCGCCCCAGACCACTTATAAAGACGGTGACAAGTCCAGGAGAAAGAAACCCCATCCAGTGTTCCACATGCCTTTAGAGAAGGGAGGGCAGGGTCTCCGGAAACCTGCCAAGAAATATCCTCTTTCCCCCCATTCCAGTAAGAGACAAATGTGACTACATAAACTGAGAAAGACACCCCCACTTTAAGGACGAGTAATCTCAGGCAGCGGTTATTTTTACAAGGAGGAATGTGTCCGAGACTACACCCGGAGCCCCAAACAGGGATTCCGAGAGTGGGCGGGACGGGAGACTTAATCCATCAGCTTCAGCCAGCAGCACCCCCCCCATCCCAGCTCTGAATGGGTCTGACAGGGACTCTTCGCAATCTCCCCTCTGCGTGTGAGACGTGCAGGCTGCCGGAGTCTAGGGGATCAGTTTCTGACGCCTGGAGGAAGGGCGTCTGGCTGCACGCTGGAGTCCCTCAGAGTTACTACTGAGCTCATGCCAACCAATCTCCATGCCATCAGACACTCACTCGGGACACTCTTGCCAGCTGTCCCTTGGGGGACAAGTGTGTGTAGACGCATACGGTCACACGTACTTATGTCTGTATATGTACAGGATCAACCCGTATTTGTGTGATCAACTGCAGTTTACAAGGTGCTCTATAGATAATATTTGTTTTATGCAAAACTCAAAAGTGGGGGTGGGCTGTTTCTGCATCTGGCCTTGGGCAAACCTCCCCAGGGGGGTTAAAGGGCTGCATTTCACACCATGCACAGGTTTTACACAAAGACAAGCAGAGAGTGGGTTTAGTAAGCACCTCAGGAAGGGCCAGGGAACAAGAAGCACACCTGCCAAGCCCCCAGCCCTGGGCTACTTTGCCAAGAAGGGGTCTCCTGCGGGCTCCCCTAGAACCTGCAGGCTCAGCAGAGTGGACCGGCAGACGTCCCACCCAGGGTGCACCGCGGGGGGCCTCTGCCTCTGGGGCAGGTCTGGGCGAGGCTGGTGATTCAGACCCAGACCCGGCAAGAATCCAGGGAGCTGTCACGTCCCCGGGGGGCCGTCCTGAGAAACGTGGCAGCAGAGAAGTCTTGCCAGCCGCCTGGCGCTCAGGTGCCCTCAGATGACCTGATGCCACGAGGTTTGCACCTGGATCCACGGTTATCTCTCGGGCTACGTCCTGGCCAGAGCGAAACCCCACAGGTAGCTGGCCCCTGTCCAGCCGATGGGCGCCCGGATCGTTACCTGGGAGGGCGGCGTCGCCTTCCTGCGCTTTCACCTGGGTGGGGGGCGACCGGCGGGGCCGGGCGGGGAGGGGCACTGACCGCAAATTCCGAGCACCCGGAGGGTGTGCGCCCAAGGCGCGAGACGCCGTCAACCGTGCAGTCTCCAACCCACCGACCCTCCCCAAAACCGAGGGCAAAGGTGTAGCTCCGGGTGGCTCTCCCGGCGCCCCCAGCACGAGCACCCCGATGTCGCTAGGGGGCGGGGGGATGGAAGAGGGGAGATGGGAATAGGGAGAAGTTAAAAGACAGCGGATAGAAATATAGAGGAGAGAGAGGAGAGAGAAATAGAAGAAAATATAAATACGTATCTAGAGAGAAGAGACAGAAACACGGAGGGAGGAAGAGAGGAGTACACGGGGAGCGAGAGAGGAGGAATACGCAGGAAGGAGGCAGAAACCTACAGAGGTGGAGAGAGGGATGCGAGTACAGACGGGGAGGCAGGGACCGGCGCGAACGCAAAGGGGACCCGGGCCAAAGTGGGCCGCCGGGCGGGGGTCGGGGCGGGCGGCCCTCCCCGAGCGCGCGGCTTCCGGGCCGGCGGGCAGCGACGGCGGCCGGGTCACAGCGCCCCTGTCGCCCGTCCCGGGAGGCGCAGCCCCCGCCCCCGCCCGCCGGCCCGACCCGCACGGGCGCCTCCCGCAGCGGGGCGCGGCACAAAGGGCCCCACACAATGGCCCAGCCCGCGCGGCGCACTCACATCTGGGCAGCGAGGGCCGGTGGTCGACCGGCACCCAGATCTTCTGCACCCGGCTCTGGGTCAGCTCCAGGGGCATCTTCGCGGCTGCGCGGGCGGCCGGGTCCCGGCGTGGGGCGGAGGGCGGCCCCGGAACAAAGGCGCGGAGGGGTGCGGGCGCCGGCGCGGCTCGGGGAGACGGGCTGGGGCAGGGGGATCGGCGTGCGCGGCGGAGACCGGGCGCGGGGTGCGGGGGGCGCTGGTGCGAGGTGCGCGCTCGTGCGCGACGGACAGCCGGGATGCTCGGGCGCAGTGACAGCCGGCTCCGCCGCCGGCTCGCGCGTCTTCTCTCCAGCTCTGCTGGGCCGCCCAGCGCGCCTCCCGGCCTTTTAAGAGTGGCGGCCGGCAGCCGGCGCGCGTCAGCCCGGGGCGGGCCGCATTCCCTGCCCCAGCCCCCTCCACGTGGGGCGGCGGCGCGGGCGGCCTGCTGGCGCCGCCTGCGGGCCACGGGCGGAAGCGCAGCCCGGGCCTCCGAGACGCTCTGCGCGGGGGCCACCGGTCCTCGCGCCGCTCCCAGCCCCTGTCGTGCCCTAAGGGCGCCCGCGCAGCTTTCCCGGATCATTCCACTCCCCCACCCCAACTGTGCCGGAGGAGAGCGGCGGCGCGGCGCCGTCCCGCGTGGTCCACGGACCCCCAGCCAAATCCCCCGGGACGCTGGTTAAGATGCGCACTACGGTTCGCCTTTCCAGCAGTGGGGCCCGGGCCCTGCGTTCCTGACCCGTGCTCCGAGGCAGGGGAGCCCAGGGGAGGACCCGGGCCAGAGCCGCTCCTCGACACCTGTGGGCCTTCGCGCCACGACCCCCATCCCCCGCGAGGAGGGGGCTTCCCTGGTCCTTTGATCTCACCCCGCCCACTGAGTGCTGCTCCCCTCTCCTGCCCCTAGGCCGGACCGTGGGAGGCCCGCGGGCTGGGCACGAGCAGGGGGCGGAAAGCCGGGGCTTAAAAGAGAACGAGAGGGGGACGCATCTTGGTTTTCCCACTCCCCGTGGACACCACTCAATAAACCTCTCTCGCCGAGTAGAAAAGTGAATTAAACTAGACCCCGTTCCGACCTGCAGTTCTTTTCCTGACTATAAGCCCGGAATAACTACTGGGGGCGGCACCCTGATCCTGCAAACCGCTAAAATTTATGCCGTTCACCCTGTGCACCCGGCAGCCTCCCTCGCCCTGGTGTGCGCTCGCCCTCGCTCCTGCCGGGTGCCCAACGTTTGCAGCGGTGGCGGCCCGTGACCCGAGTGCCGTCAGTGGAGGCCGTTCGGGGAAGTTGTGGGGTGCTGCGGGGGCGCGGGGACCCAACACCCGCGGGCTCGCAGCAGGCGAAGCCGCGGCCCGGCCTGGCACGGGCGCACGCTCGGCCCAGGCTGCGCTGCGACCCGAGGCACGAAGGCGGCGCTCGCGGAACCCACAGCGCGCCGAGCCCTGCGCCGAGGCAGCCACACGTCGCTCACGTCCCGCATGCTCGGCAGGGAGGGCGCCCGCGCCCAGGCGGCGGCCACGGCTGCTCCCGCCCCGCCCAGAGGCCCGGCGCCGAGCAGCGCCCACCTGGCCGGGCCCCCGGGGCCGCCCCGCCCTGGCGCTCCCTCCGACAGCTTTGCTGACGGTCCGGTTTCTGCACTCGGGCAGCTGTTCGGAAACCCGATGCATTGCATTTGGACTTGTTTTTCTGCAGCGGGAGCATATACCAGAGGCAATACCCTAGCTCGCCCAAGGGACAGTCCCAGTCCACTCCTGAAATAAGAGTGGGCGGGCTGGCCCCACCACCGGGAAGAGCTCCCACCCGGGGGCTCGCGGGATCGGGGCGTGGGGGCTGCAGGCCGTGCGCGCGGAGACTGGCTGCACCCCTGCAACGAGTGACACTGCCCCCGCGCGCTTGCTGCTTGCCCACCCGAGACTTTGCACACAACTACAGGCCAGGCAAGGGGACCAGGTGGCGTTCTTCTGCACAGCCCCCACCCTCACCCCAAGTTTGCAAACACGCAGTTGGTTTCAGCTCAGGGGGCGCCGGGGCGGGGGCTGCACTTAATCTCTTGTCCTAAGTAACGCGTCTGACCAACGGCCAGCTCTCAGGACACCAGGCAGTTGACCCGGCACTTTTCCTGGGACTGGAGCGCAGAGACTGAATTCCTCCCCGGGGTCGTCTCCTGCACCAGATAGGCCGCAGGTGGAGGGAAGTTAACTCAATCCCCCTCCTGCTTCCCTAAGTGCAAACTGGCCATGCCCAGGGGACAAGGACGAATTAGCACTGGATTTTTGTTTTGCTTTAATGGCCAGCTAGAATTCTTGCAGCGTTTACAGCCCCAGGTAAACTAAGGGAGAGTCCTCATGGGAGATAAACTTGCTCCATCACAAAATCGCTCATGAACCACCCAACTGCAACTGTATTCCAAGAACGTGAGGTTCCGGTTGACTGGTGCAGACACGCTCTGAACTTTCCCCTAGTTCTGCTAATGGCCCCGTCTTCACCCCAAACGTCACCCTCCAGGTTTCACCAATTAATTCCCCTGTCCCAGCCTGGATATCACTAACACAGTCCTTCAGAAAACACTGCCAAGAACGGGAACATTCCCCTCACACAGTGACATTCTCACAGCCGGAAGGACTCTAAGCCTAGGGCAGATGGATGACTTCTACGAGTCGGGACCGAGATCCTATTAAAGACAGGAGGAGACATCAAGAGACCCTCTTGTTTTATGGGAAGGAGTAAAGGGAGTGGAGATTAGAGCAGTCACCAGACCAGGTTAGAGGTCAAGGAAGAAAGCCAATTAGAAACAGGGTTTGCTTCTGTGGGGTTTTTTCCTCTACTTGACACAGACGGCAGGTCCCCTCTCGGGTCTCATTAAAGGCCCCCAACCCCAGGATGCTGAGCGGAATCCTAACTTAGGACACGCAGATTGCCATCCAGACCGTCTCAGCCAGAACAACCGAGCGGTTTGGAAGCAGGGAGCAGAGAAAAGACATTTGCCGTGTACGATGAGGACAATAATAGCAGGAAAGTTATTTAAAATGATCCTCTAACATGTATGAAGAACCTACCAAGCGCCTGGTGGGAGCTCACAGGGCTGAATCGCTGAGCTCAGTCCAGCCTCAGAGACAGGGCGGTGGGAGTGGTTTTCTCCCCCCGGGGGACCTTATTTCTTCCCATTCCCCTGCACCCACCAATGTCACCTAACCCTTCCCGGCGCCCCCAAAGCAAGCCCACCTCTGTGCTCCTGTGCCAGCCATAGCCAGGTTTAAACTTCAAACCACACTTGGACCCACCTCCTCCCAGGGAGGGAGAAAGAGAGGAAGGTGACAAGCTGGGGCAGGCTGTGAGAAGTCAGAAGTCACTAATTAGACTCCCAAGTGTCATTACTTGCTCCTGTGAAAAGTCGCACGTGTGCAAGAGAGAAGTGAGACACTAAGTAAAACATGGAACCAAGTAAAACCCTCCCATCGCCATCCACCAAAGACAGGGCAGAGGGGAATATTTTTTTACATAAAACATGTAGCTCATACATGGATGGGAACAGAAACTGAGGTCCACACGATGGGACATCGGGCTCGAAAAACCAATGCATGACCTGCACGGAGATGTTTATAGCAACTTTATTCGTGATTATCAAAACATGGAAGCAACCAAGAGGCCCTTCGATAGGTGAAGGATAAACCGCGGTGCATCCAGACAACGGACTATATTAATAACTCGGCACTAAAAAGAAATGAGCTACGAAGCCATGAAAAGACATGAAAGAAACTTAATGCATATGACTAAGTGAAAGATGCCCATCTGAAACGGCTACATACTGTAAGAGTCCAACTATGTGACATTCTGGAAATAGTAAAAAATAAATAAATAAATAATCAGGGGCTGGGGGAGGGAGGGAGGAAGAGGCAGAGCAGAGGGTTTCGGGCTGTGAGGCTGCCCTGGGTGGTGCTCTAGTGGCTACATGTCTTTACACACCTGTCCAAACCCACAGAATGCACAACACCAAGAGTCGCCCCAGAGCGAACTGTGGGCTCGGGGTGATGACACCATGTCAGTGTAGGTTCCTCTGTCACCATCTGATGGGGACGTGGATGGGGGGGAGGCTGCGTGTATGGGATGGGGGAGGAGGCAGAGGGGAACTCTCTGTACTTTGCCCACAGTTTTGCTGTGAACCTAAAACTGCTCTACAAAATAAGGCTTTTTTAAAAAAAATTCCTTATTTTCTACAAATATCATATACTTTTTTTTCCAGTCTAGTGGACTTAAATATCTCATTTAAGGGGGGGGAGGATTAGTAGGGTGCCCTGCGCCCATAGCCTGGCTCTGGCTGCAGGACTCAAAGTCCCAGCAAACGCTCCAGCAGGTTTCCATTTTCCTCTGCCCAGTCCTGTCCCTCCACCTCCGGGGTCCTTTCCTGTTTTTGAGGACACCCCTGAGCTCGAGACCAGGTTCCCGAAGCTGCCTGCAGGTGCTGCACATCCAGCATCACGCAGGTAACAGCTTTGAGGGGGTTTCCTGCTCCCTGTCAGCCTCCTCTCCCAACAGCAGGAGAGAGCTGTGTTATACAAGTTTTATATTATGGCTCCAAAATATTTGGTGCATGTTACAAATCAGGCACACTGTACTCTAGTTAACAGTCTTGCACCCACTCCAGTGTCCTGCTTTTCATATTTCAGCACAGCCACATAAGATGTAGCCATTGGAGGAAGCTGGGTGAAAGGTTCATGGGACTCCATGTACCGTTGTGCAACTTCTTGTGAGTCCATAGTTATTTCAAAATAAAACGTTTTTTAAAAAATCACTGATAGCTCAGCTTGCTCAAGTGCTGGGAAAAATGCATAGCTTGTGCAGACTCGGGCATGGAAGGAGGGGGGTGCTGGACAGAAAGGCAGTAGGGAGCTCTGTGGCGATTTGCATGTGTTAGCAACACCTGTGCATCTTACAAATGACACACGTATACAAACGGAATTTGCACTAATCCTGCACCCTTGAGAAAACTGAACCAAGCTCAGGCTGTATTTTCACTTGGGAGGGAGTCCATTTCTTGGCTTTCCGTAGATTTTGGGGGAGAATATCAATGAGTTTGTAAGTCTTTGTCACCAATTTGCATACTGAGAACAACACAAAGAAGAGACAGTCACATAGAGTGCAGTCGGGACTCGGAGAGGTTCATGCTGAGCCTGTCTTTCCCTGAGATGGAAGGTGGTTC